GCAGTTCGGGTTTTGGATGACAAACTGATTTTGCGCCCCATTTTTTATGGGGGGGGGGGGGGGGGGGAGGGGGGGCGAGGAGACAGGTTTTTTTCTTCTTCTTCGTGTTCATCAGCTCTAACCTTTGGCAGAACCACTTCTGGACTTTATTCTTGTTCCAGAACCTGAGAATTATGTGCACATCCAATTTAAATTTCTTGCTAATTTTTATGCAGACTGTTGGTTCCTGGCCTTTCAGGCAGATGCATTCTGACTTCGAAAGAAACATCCCTAATTAGTCGACTCTTGTGTCATGCTAGAGGGCAGTGGATCTATTCCCCTCCCCCCCCCCCCACCCTCCCCAAACATAATGGAACCCACTAGGGGGAGTAACATGTGCAAAATGATTGTTTTTCTAAGGATTTTTTTTTCACCACTGTAATATCTAAAATATGGAAGGTAAATAAGATCAGCTTTGATTTTTTTTTTTTTTAGATACACTCGGCGGTACTGCTAAACAGGCTAAAACCATAGGTCGAAGACATACTGGGAGATTACCAAGCAGGTTTCCGGCAGAACAGATCAACAGATATTCATTTTACGGCAAAAAGCGTTTTTGTGGATTTTAAAAAAGTGTATGACAGTGTACATAGAAACAGTTTATGGAATGCTATGAAGGACTTTCTAATACCAAAGAAGTTAACTACCATGACCAAACTATGTATCGAAGACACTAGTAATATGGTAGTATATAAAGGCAGAAAGTCAGACCCTTTTAAAAAACATCTGGTTTAAAGCAAAGTGATGTAATGTCCTCACATCTTTTCAACTTTGCCCTAGAGAAAATTATAAGAAAACTGAAACAAGAGTGTAGGAGAAACTACAAGAATACTTGGATATGCAGATTACATTGATATTGTTGGAGAAAATGAGCTAGAGACTGTTAAAAAACACTATCTCGAAAGAATCAGCTCAGAAAATGGGACTAGTTATCAGTCAAAAAAAAAAAAGAATACATGATAATAACTAGACAGGGAAAGGATATAAACTCCGGCCACATACAAGTCGATAATATGAAAATCAAATGAACGGGAACATATAAGTACTTGGGTGCAAACTTCAACTGCTTCAACGTGCTGTGAGAAGAAATACTATCTAGAATACAATCTGAAAATAAAGTATACTATGCCCTTCAACACCTGCTAAAGTCAAAGTGTCTGTCTCACGACACCAAGATCAATAAATATGAAACTTTGATAAGACCATTAATTTAAATAGCTCTGAAACTTGGAGCACAACTAAAAGAGATGAAGCCTCATTACAGGTTTTCGGAAACAGAGTTTTATGATCAATCTTTGGACCCATCAAAGATAGAAACAGAAGGGAATGGAGAGTGAGAAGCAATAAATAAATTCAAAATATTTAATTTACCACTGATCACTGGCATCATGAGATCTAATAGACTGAAATAGTTAGTGCCTTTTGAAAGAATGTCAGATGACAGAGAAGTAAAAATTGTATTCACAAGGGAGATGAATGGTCGTAGACCATGAGGCAGACCAAGAAGAAGATGGAGAGATAATGTCCAGATGGACCTGCAAACACTTGATGTCACCAACTGGAAAGATAAGGCCAACCAGAGAGATGAATGGAGGTGGGTGATATCAGCAGCAATGAACCTCAAGGGCTCAGAATGCTGACAAAGAAGAAGAAGTGTCCTATCCAACGCCAGCATCTTTTCTCCATCCATTGGTGGACTGGAACTTGATTAGCTCTCTCCCAAAGCTCAACCTTAGTGTTTCTATCACACCATTCTGTGCCGGCACCAGTTAATGAATACTAAGGGTTTGAACACAGTTCTCCTGCATAAAAGATTAGCATTCTAACTATTCAGTCAGCGGTGTCCATGGCTCAGGTGTTGCGGTTCCGACTCGTAATTCCAACGTACTATGATCAAAACCCACTGCTGGCTGCATGGATTTTTGGTATGGGGCGTCGCAGGTCGACTTAGCCTAAAATGGGTTCAAGGATGTATGTCTTGGGGAAGTAATGATGGCCAGCGTAATGCTGACCACATTACCCACCTAGTGCCAACTGGTCTGTAAAAATATGGGTGCTCTTCCTCTATGCCTAAAGGCGTGAAAAGGTTACTATTCAGTCAGTCACAAAAAGAATAACATACGCAACATTTTTTGCTTTGGCTTGCAAATGCATCTATTTTGAAAATCTCTGAAACTCGTTCTTGGAGCTGATGATTCTTCCCACTCATATCTCTTCGTCTATTCCATCTCCTGTTTTTTATTTGTATTTGTTCCATAACTTTCACTAGCCTTCTCAACTATTTTCATACTGCAGGTCTGATCCCAGCTGGGGATGATTTGTCTTACACTGGTTTCGACAGTCGTACCCAGAGCTGACATCTCATTAGGCAATGGCAAACTATTAAACGTAAAATCTGCCACACAAAAAATTTAAAAAAAAACAACACAACAGCCAAAACAACTAATTTTTCTCAACATTGTTTTGGTAACTATTCTAGTAGGAATTGTCAATATACAAGTGTTTATTTTCTTCTCTGTCCACAGTATTCTCTTATCTTAATTTAAATATGTGTATGTGAATAAGGTTTTCTCAGTTAAACATAACAAAACAAAATGTTTCATGAAAATATTAAATAATTTTTTACTTCATCAAAAAATGGTTAGCATTCAAATATCCTTATGAAATATTGTGCTTGTATGCAAGCACTTGTAACCTTGTATGTGTCCTCATGCACCCCTACAGATGTATTTAAATATAACAGCTGTAACATATGTAATATTTCAACAGATCACATATATTCTGACACAAACAAAATAATAAGCAAGGTTGAAAGACAATACATATTTTTAAAATCAAAAGGTTGATGGCACCGAGTATTTGCTTGGCAAAACAGAAAATACTGAACTTCAAGAGAAGTTGACGCTAAAGATAACAAAACACAACATAATTGATACAATAAACATGCATGGGTTATATATATATATATATATTTTTTATACACATATACATATACACACACACACACACATAAATACACAAATATATATATTTATATATATACACACACATATATGCAGGCAGACAGACAGACAGACAGAACCTGTTAAAGCAATACCTTTCTGTAAGTGAAAGTATTTTTACCCTGTCACCCCAAAAAGAATTTCTGGTAGGGGAAAAATCCCCATAACATTAATAACATTTTTCTGGTGCCAAGATTCTGGACCGTACCACTACAAACAAATGTGCACACTCATATGTGTGTTTGTGTGTGTGTGAGAGTGAGTGCATGTGAATGAGTGTCAGAATGTGGGAGTGGGGGGGGGGGAGGGGAGAAAATTACATCTTGGGTTTGGCAAAAATGTAACTGGCAGCCCTGCACAAGAGTGAGTGATGGGTTTGTCCATCTTTTAACAGGATTCAGCTACACCGTTGATCCATCTTTTTTTTTTTTAGGGTTTCCCCTTGCCTTTCACCGTCCAGATGTTCTGCTATAGGTTTCTTATGCAGTTTGGTCTGACTGTATTCTCACTATATGGCCAAACCACTTCTTTTAATGTATGTTCCAACTTACTCTCTAATGATGGTTTTCGTAACCATGTTCCTTTTTGTATTATTGATCACCTTTCAGAGACAGCTCATTTCACAGGTATTTATTTCATACTTCTGTGCTCTACCCATTGTCCATGTTTGGACTGATTGCATAAAGTGGGATGAAGATGTTTGTTTGTTTTAGTATCCAGAAGCCATGAGTTGTTAACCCTTAGGCTCGGTATTATGGATATCGCAACCTTTCGGCCTTTATTCCATTGTAAATACCTTAAATCTGGGAGAAATGTGGCTTTACTGCCTACCCCCGGGGGTGAACCAGGACCACAAGGAGTTTGTCACCCGATCACCGCGCAATCCCGTTTAGCCAACTATGATAGAGAGCCGGGCATGAAGATGTTTCTAACTGTTACTGTTTTGCTGGGAGTAAGACATTTTGGGTGACTTCATCTATTTTTAGCATTCACTGGCTGTAAACTCTGGCAGAAAGTTCTGATGGTTCATCCTTTTCTGGACTTCAGTCCTGTTCCAGAACTTGAATTTTGCATGCACATTCGCTTTACAGATCTGGCTTGCTTGTATGCAGACTGCTGGTTCCTCATCGCTCAGGCAGATGCGCTCTGATTTCAGAGGAGAAATACCTGACTGGTTGCCTTTTACAATATCTTTGTTGGGAAGAAAGTATACAAGCAGTGAGGATTTGTTGATAAACAAGTATATAAGAGTTAAAGTAACAACTGGAGAAGGAGTTAACAGTCAGAGCAAGGAACAGCCACCATTAAGTGAATTATCAACAAGAGTAAGCAACAAATGTATAATGAGTTCCTTGGTATATAATGAGTTAAAAATTATGGTTTTATATCATTTGAGCATTTGTCATGTTAGAAATGTTAACTGTACATTATTACAGAAATGTTTCATTTTTTTTTTTCATAACCATTAATTATTGATATATTCACATATTTTTTTTTCTTTGGCTATATCTGTCTCTTTCTCTCTGCCTTTCTTTCTCTCTCTGATTCTCTTTCCCTTGGGTCTCAGTGCTCTATATCTGCATCACACACACTCTCTCTCTCTCTCTCTCTCTCTCTCTCTCTCTCTCTCTCTCTCTCTTTTGTTTTCTGCATCTTTCCTCTGTTTCCTTATATTTTCTTTTTCACATCCATTATTCAATTATCCATTTACACACATTTTCCCCTTTAGCTGTCTCTTTCTTGCTCTGCTTCTCTCTCTCTACGAATGTCTTATTTTTTCCTCCCATCGCAGTGTTTCTCTTTCCCTGCCTCACTCTCTATTTTTATGCCTCTTTGTCTCTGCTACTTTTTTCCTGCCTTTTTCACTTCTCTAAATCTGCTTTCACCACTGCCTCTGCCCTATTTCTCATCCAAATTATTTTTATTATTTTTTTTCCTTAAATGACGACACATTGAAAGCTATAGAATATGACCTGGAGGTCCAATATGGCTTATCTGTACAAGAATGAGCAGGACGAAAGTTGTAACAACAGCTGAGAAAATCAAATATGATGGCAGTACTGGGACGTGGAACAATTTAGCCTGAAATAAAATGGAAAAGTATGTAGTATGCATGTGCACACATGCACACGCCCAGGTACACAAACACACACATATATAATTATAAATTATCCTATCATACCATTTAATCCCCTCTGTTCTGTGTAGAAACCAATTAATCAATCTTTGTAGCTTATTAGTAATTGTTTTAGTTGTTATGCATGTTTCAGCTTCATACAGGGGTACTGATTTCAGATTAGAGCTTAATATTGTAAATCTGGTACCAGTTTTAATTTCCTTCCACTTTATCTGACCTTAGTTAGTTAGTTAGTTAGTTAGTTGGGTTATCCTCATTGCACTCCGGACATGTCCATAGGTGCTCAGATCCTCCCCTCAGTATGAACCCCAACGTCCGATGGCTAATAGTACCAGTTCTATGTTGATTAACAAGTCTTCTGGCGAACTGGTGTGCGTCTCGTTTTTTGCTGTGCCGATCTTAATTCCCAAGTCTGCCATTCTGGCCAGTGATGTGGATTCACTGCCACCAAAGTCGTCTATCCTTCCCATTTCTCTGAGGGCATTGATAATATCAGCATGATCCATAGGCTGACCGTCGATAGTGATAGCGGATCCAGCCAACCTGTCAGCTCTTTCATTTCCATCGACGCCTGCGTGACCTTTATCACCTAAGGGAGCATAGGCCCTCAACTTTTTTTTCATTATCTGAAGTCCAACCCTGACTTTTGCATGGGTTCCTAAATATAGCCGGGCCTTAAATATGGCCTAACAGCAAAACAAGGTTCCCGGGACCTCTCCATGGGTGATCCTCATGGTGGCACTTTGTGTCACTGTGTGATGTCTTGGTGGGGTACAACTTACCTACCTCAACCAACTCTGCCAAGTCATCCCATCTGTTGTTATAGCATGCAGGTCACCCCATGTATTCCCTATCTCTTTAACCACTCTTTAGCTCCTTTTTCCTTGTGTTTTTGGTCTGCCTTTATTTATTTGCCCGTGTGGATTCCAGTGCAAAGACATTCAGGTGTTCTCAATGTGTGTCCTAGCCAATACCAGTATCTTTTTTTTACCTCTTTACGGACTCGAATTTGCTTTGTTCTCTCCCAAAGCTTTATATTAGTGATTCTATCATACCCTTTATTTCCTGCTATTCTGTGCAGGCACTAGTTAATGAATGTTTATTATTAATTGTGTTAGCTGTTCTCTATACCCTAACTCTATAAATAGGACTGAACTGACATAAGAGCTTAATAATTTAAGTTTGGTACCAGTTTCAATTTCCTTTCACAGGCTTTTATCAGCAGCAAGTAAAATGAGGCCACAAGGCTTTTCATGAGTAGAGGAAAGAAGAACAAGTAAAATGATAGAAAACCTGGCATGTACAATGCCTGGTGACAGGGTGTTTATCCCTAAACTCAATAGTTCTTTCTTGGTAGACACTGACGATTCATTAGGTAAGTTAAGTATCATTGGCCCTGCATTTAATAAAACCTCTTTGGATGGTGGGAAAGTGCTCTTGTTCTGCAACTGCCTTCTCTTGAAGGCTTATTTTGAAGCCCCACCCTGGCTTTAGCTTGAGGCCCTAAATATAGCCAGGCCTTAAATATGGCCTAACGGCTGAATGGGGTTACCGGGACCTCTCCATGGGTGATCCTCATCCAAATGGTGTCACTAGGTGTTTATCACCTGTGTGATGTCCTGGTGGGGTACAGCTTACTTACCTACCATGAGGGGTGACCATCATTACGTGGCTACTATGGGCTGGCCTGGCGGGGGCACCACTCGTAAACTAGGAAACAAAGATGATCACACAGCAATGAGACTGCAAGGTCTTATGAAACCAACTGGAATGGCTAACCCAGGCAAAAAACTTGCAGAAGTTGGCTGCATTGAGAGAGAAAGGCTAAATATTGCAGCCATGTTGTAAATGGACACAATACAATTACATCTTCAGATAAACACAGAAGAAAAATAAGAAGATGGTCATAATTATCACATACATAAATGACTAACCTTCAGTTTTGTAAATGTCACAAACTGCAGAAAGGAGTCCAGGTCTAAAATGGAAGCACCCTTGTAGCCAAAGACTCTCATCTCAAGGGCAATCTTTTGAACTTGGAGACACACGGAGTTAACTCTAGCAGCCTGTTAACAGACAGTAACATGAACTGCTACATCTTGCAAATAAATACTGGAATAGCTGGCAGAGAGACTAGGAGGATGACCAGCAGGGGAATATGTCCAGATGGTTTTAGAGCCAGACTGCTGGTATATACCCATAAATGGAGAGTGAAAATGATTATGATGATAATAAATACCTTCTTTTCCACGTTCACCAGCTGTAAACCCCAGCGGAAAGTCTGGTTGCTCATCCATGCCTGGACTTCAGTCTTGTTCAAGAATCTAAGTGTTGTGTGCACATCTGTTTTACATATCTGGCTTATCTGTATGCAGATTGTTAGTTTCTTGCCTCTTAGGCAGAAGCACTTGCACTTCAAAGTAAACCCCTAATTAGTCTACTCTTACGACGTGCTTGTTAGGTAGGGGGGGGGGGGGGAGGAGAAAGGGTCTATTCTTGTTTTGCCCCACAATGGGGCTCCTGGAACCCACACAGGGAAAAATAAATAACTGATGGTGGTGATGATGGTATAATTCATAACAAAGATGATAATCATAACAAACAGTATTATTATGATAATAATAAAGATGAGGATGATGATTATGGTGATAATAATTAAAGTGATGATATCAGCGTTAGTGATGATGACTGCAGCGGTGAGGATGACAGTGATGATAATGATGATGATTATGAAAATGATGATGGTGACAATCATGGCTATGATTTCAGTGGTGGTAACGATGACAATGATGGTAATGATGTCTGGTAGTGATGATGACTGATGATGATGATGATGACTGATGCTAATGATCACTAACAGAAGAATGAAAAAGATGATGATGATTATGATGAAAAAAACTTGTAATAATGTAGTCCCCTACCTTCTTTTTTTTTTTTTTTTTTTTTTTTTTTTTTTTATTTCTCAGTGTATGTATTCAATACTACTAAACAAAACATCTACTGAAAAGATGAACTCAAGTTGAAGAGTTACCTGAAATAAAGGAAATAGGAGCATAACTGCCCAGATGACTGGAAAGAAGGTCCGATACACCCAGACTTTCGGCTCATTGTGTTTGTTAAGGAACAGAATACACAAACCTGTGAAGTAAAGACAATACAGTTCCTATACATCACAATATGAAGCACTGTATCATAATCATCGGGATTCATTTGGTTTACAACAGATTACCTAATTGCACTCACATGCCTTAATTCCAGTCTCTGCACATAAATAAATGGCTTCTTACCTTCCTCTGCCTCAAATCCTCCAATGGGGCACCGGTCCTCAACCAACTCGTGCCAAGTTGTTCTATCCTTCACTATTGCATGCAGTTCTCCCCATATACAAAATGGAGGTCTATGTGGAATGTTAAGCTTCGAAGTCAATTTTGCTTCGGATAGCAATTTGCTAATGCAGTTTCCACATATGGACAGAAGTTTACGGTTTCACTGCCTGAGCTAGTGAGTTTAGTTTTTTAATGCAGCCCTGTGAGCTGTGTTTTTCTTGTGAATTGCCTTTCGTTTGTGCAGCTGATGAGTAATGGTCAGTAGCCGGTTTATGTATGGGATGGTTAAATACCTTATGTAATAATCCTAGTGTGGATAGCCAAATTATCGTGCCCGACTACTTCCACCAACGACAAACTGCATTTCTGGTTGTGACTGTTGATTCTGGCATCTCAAGCAACTGCCACATGCATATTTCTGGATTGTTACCGGACTAATAGTTTGTTCACCAGTTTTTCAAATGGGACAGTAAGGGACATATCATTTTACAGGAATGGAGCAAGAACAGGGTGACCCAATTGCAGTGAAGTTGAAAGCTTGACTAAGACTAAGTCTTCCCATGTCCTCCCTACTAGAAAAGCCTCTGCTTATCTTGGTTGGCTGAGTTTTTCTTTTTTTTGACTTGTCCATGTTTGGTTGGTTTTTATAACTAATTTTTTTTAAAGAATGAGGTAGCGAAACCTCAATCACAACCCTATACTCTTAGTCGCCTCTTACGGCATGCCTGGTAGAGTGCAGTGTTACTTTACTATTCTTTGCTTCCCGTGAGGGATCTGGTAACCCACAGGTGATATCACACTGCACCAACTCCAGTAGCAGTAATGATCTCTCCACTACCTTTTTGGTCTGCCTCGTATTTAGACCATTCAACTCCATGTGTGCAGTTTTTTGCCTCCCTGTCATCTGTCATTCTTTCTACATGCCCCTGTCCTTTCAGTCTATTAGCCCTCATGATGCCAGTGATCAATGGTGATTTGAACAGAATATAAACGTAATTCCTGCTTCTCACTCCCCATTCAATACTGTTCACATCTTTGATAAATCCAAAGATTTGTCCTAAGACTGTTGACAAATATTTGCAATAAAGCTTCAACTGCTTCAAGTTTCAGAACCATATAAGACTATATAACCATAAAAGACAAGAGATCTTATCAATGTTTATAAATTTTGATCTAGGTGTTATGAAACAGAGCATTTGGTTTTAGCAGATTTTGTTGGGCATAGTAAAGTAAAGTAAAGTAAAGATCCCTTTTCACGCCTTTCGGCGCATCGGGCATATAAGCAGAGCGTCCCATATTTTTACAGACCATCAGCACTCTGTGGGTAATGTGGTCAGCATTACGCCGGCTGTCTTTACTTTCCCAGGACAGCCCATCCTGGTACCCATTTTAGACTGGGTCGACCTGTGACGTCCCATACCATAGTATACATTATTTCCAGACTGTATTCTACATTGTATTTCCTCTCTTAAGCAGATGAAGTTTGTACCAAAGTACTTGTAGGTTTCCATTCATTTCAATTTCACTTGATCCATTTATATGTGGCCAGAGTTTTTATCCTTTAGTGTCTTGTTATTACCAGGTATTCTGTCTTATCTTGGCTGATAACTAGTCCCAATTTGCAGGCTTCTTCCTTTCAGTGAGTCAGTGTTTTTACTGTCTTTAGTTAATTTTCTTCAACTATATCAATGTCTTCTAACTCTAAATGTTATGATGCTTTGTTCAAACTTGTTTAACTACAGACAAGAGACCAAGCAAGAAAATGTATCAAATTTTATAAGAAAGCGCTGCTGGAATTACATCGGCCATGCACTCAGAATGGATAAGATCAAGACTTCCCCATCAAGCCCTCATACAGCCACCGGAAGGGAGAAGAAAATGGAGATGACCAAGAGAGCTATGACCTCTACACTGCCTTAGGCTCAAGAGGAAAGACTAACTAACTAACTATATCAATGTCATCTTCATAAGCAAGTATCCTTGTAGTTTCTCCTAAAGTACAATCTTCTTTCACTTCATTTATAATTTTATCTAGGGCTAAGTTGAAAAAAAGTGGGGACAGAACATCCTCTTGCTTTAAACCAGATGCTATGTGAAAAAGGTACTGGTGGAGATAAGCATACTTATCTACAGATCCCATTCTCTAGCACGCTCACTTTTGATTCACACAGATGCAGAAAAATACTATATAAGCCACTCACCAATAACTGTTAGCTCTGCCAAGATAACAGATGCCAAAGATGTCATATTTGAGATGATTCCATTTAGCAGGCTTAAACTTTGCCGCAACATCAGCAGATCCTGGTTAGATATAATACACACACACAAATTGTACAGCTATGAGTAAGACAAAAAACAAGGCATTTAATGCCTTTTCTTTCTTCATCTGCCTATTCTGCGATTCAGATAAGTTTTTTCTCTTCCTTATGCCCCCATCCCCCTATCTGTCTGTATTCCTCATTTGTTATCTTCTTCTTCTTCCTCTCCCCTCGCCTTCCTCTTCATCCTCTCCTTCTTCTTCTTCCTCCCAAACCTGTGAGGTTCACTGCTGCAGATATCATCTGCCTCAATTCATCTCTGTGATTGGCACTTCTCTTTCTGTTTGGAGACTCTAAGTGTATGTAGGTCTGCCTGAAGATCATCTCTCCACCGTCTTCTTGATCTGCATTATGGTCTACTCCCAGTCAGTTCTTTTGTGTACACAGTTGGTTTTGTGTATATGTGTCTTTATCTCTATTATCTGTCATTCTGTCTATACTACAACCATTGCAGTCTATTAGCCCTCATGATAGGGGCATTTAGGGTGATTTAAACAGATTCTTCTTCATTATAACCTTGCCCCAATGTGGGATGAGTCGCTGTGGCAGAGCGGCTAGACACGCGCCATGAATCAGAAGGTCCTGGGTTTGCTCTTTGGCAAAGATGGACTTTTCTTAAAAAATAACCTTGGCTCCCAAGTCGACCCAGCCTTTAGTGGGTACCGGGTGCAGTTCCGGGAAGTAAAAGTGGCCGGCCTGATGGTGACCACATCACCCATCTTGTGCCGTTGGTCTATAAAAATATAGGTCTAGCCCTATATGCCCTATACACCTAAAGGCGTGGAAAGGGTCCTTTACTTTTTTTTTTTTTAACCAATGTGGGACACAATTTTATTTCTTCAAATTATTTTAAATCTCCACCCTAGCTGTAGTGGGTGAGGGGGGGGGGGGGGGGGGGGGTGGAGACCTAATATAACCTAATGGTTGAACAGGGTTTCTGGGACTTGTACCCGGGTGATTGTTGTCCGAATAGTGGCACTATGTGTCACTGGGTGTCTATCGCCAGCTGTGCCGTTCTTGTGGGGTTGAATGGCAGGCATATTCTTCTTCTTCTGTGTCCGCCCTTGAAAGAGTGTAGGCATGGTGGGTTGTGGTTTGATACTAAGCTGTGATATCTGTGACTTTTGGCACAATACATCAAATTTCAGTAAACTCCGAAATAATTGTCTTTCATGACACCTTTGTCATCATGTTGGGGGGGGGGGGGGGGGGGGGGGGGGGGGGGGGTGGGGGGGAGTTTGTCTTCTTTCCACAAAAATTAGAACCCTAGAAATCACATAAAGAAAACAGATTATGAATTTTTCTTTTTCTTCTTCACGTTTACCAGCTGTAAACTGCCAGAAAGTTCTGGTTGTTCGTCCACTTCTAGACTGCAGTTCTGTTCCAGAATCTTAGTGTTGCGTGTGCACCTATTTTACAGAACTGACTCATTTGTATACAGACTGCTGGGTAATTGCCTCTCATTCAGATGAACTCTGACTTCGAAGGAAGCTCCCGATTCATCTTACAACATGCTTTATCTGAAAATGTCCTTAAAAATTATTTGTTTAAACATATAATACACAGGTCTGTAATAATTTTTCCTTCAAATCTGCATTATTTTTTTTTGTAATTCATATAAACAAAAGGGTAAAAAATAAGCACAAATAAAATGAAGCTTTAAATGGAAACATTAGCTGGGGCTTAAAGAAAACAAAATGTATTGGGTGACTCCCTCCGTCACTGTGACTTGCAGGAAAATTTGAAATCAACTTGGCTTTCTAAAAACCACTGCGGTCATATGAAAAACTCTGTACTATACACATATCCTGACCTATAAAAGACCCTGCAGGTGCACAGTGGAACAATGGAACTTAACCACAATTTACAAGAACAAGTCACTGCAGGCATGGTTATTTATCGGCATTTGCATAACCAGAAGTGATTAGATTCAGGCTCCTTGGATTGAGAGGATCAATCTGCTATATATTACCTTCATTGCAGCCTTCAGATCTGTTGACTTTTCCTGAAGCCGCATGCCGAGGCCTCTGACGTAGAATTTGATCATTTCACACTGTGTGCCATAGTTCATCATTATGGCTAAGATGACAGAATTGAACAAGGTCCGACCCAGTAGTTCCAGACTAAACAAAATCCAGTAACTGAGTTCACTGAAAGTTACAAGATCATACACACTGAATTATGAAAAAAAGTGAACATTAACTTGCATGAAACAAATACAAAATAGGGAGTTTTTAATCAGTAGCTAAATTATAATATAATATCAAAGGTTAAAGTCGAGAGGATTTACTTCATTGCACCAGGTTTTATTCCATATGGCTTGGTCTCTCTCCACAGAACAGCTGGCCGCCTGCCAAGAGTGCTGCACAGAGCACACACACTGCAGCTCCAGCGACAATCCCAAGAGCTCTCTGTAAAAACTGCACTCATGAACTGAACGGTGCAGCCATGAAAAGAATCCATGAACCTTCAGAGCGCGAGGCAAATGGCTTGACCACTTCTCCACAGAGACCCTCTTTTTAACATCAAAAATGTAAGAACAGGTCATCAGATCTTTGTGCCTGTGGTAATAGTTTCATGACAGTTATCCCCCCCTGCAGTCATGTCCAGCTTACAACCATAAACTTAAACAAATATGGGATAAACCAATTGCAAAAAAAAGTTGTAATGAAATGTCTAGAACTTTAAAATGACTACCACTTTTTTTTTTAAAAATCATTAATGAAGATGTTTTAGCAAAAAATGAGGAAATAGAAAAGATTTAGAATGCTTAGAAAGTTAAAAGGACCATGATTACATGTGACTGTAAAATGCAAATAATATCACATGAAAGCTGAAATGTTGTGTTTCTATATAAACTTCCTTTCCATAATATGAAGTTGGTATTCTCCAAAAAAAGATGTGGATAAATCAGGGTTCCCAAATTCAAATCCACTGTCAGATAAGACAAATTTAATTCTTCTTCTTTGGTTCCCTGTATAGTGCTCATATCTGGCCTCATCTTATTATTACTTGCTATTCTTGGTTGCAGATTCAGTTATTTTATTCTCACAAATTTCTTACTTCTCATAATTCTGCTGAGAAACAACAGACCCAGCCGCTTTGAGATACCAGCTAAGTGATTTTGTGTAACTGTGTAGTATTGTTTGATTTGCATGTGCTGATGAAGGCTCCACAGCCACAACGTTCATGTTGTGTTTGTATTTGTTATATTGTGAAGCTTGCTAATATACTTGTTGTTTGGTTTTATATCTTTTCTTTTTACTTCTCATAGAGAATTCAGTATATCAGCCTGATCCAATGCTCATTGTTTTATACAATGAGTACACTTATAACACTTATATACCTAAGTTATTCATATTTGAAACTGTGTATGGATTTTATGGACACACTGTACAAGACCTTGCATTACAGAACAATATATTTACCCCATTGTTTCAAAGAGTGGCATCTTGGGAAAATTGAAAGCCCATACGTAGAGGCATTGCAGAAGAACAGTTGTAACCACCCATAGACATCCAAACACAAGAAACATTCTAGCAAAATAAACAAAAACAAAGTATCTTAGCATCATTAATACATAATACAACTTAGCTGACTGAGTTGAGTCAATAACTAACATCAAAGCACTTAGCACATTCCCATAAGTGCTCAGTTCCCACTGCAGAGTTTTAGCTGTGATGGTACCAATAGCAGTATGTTTGTCTGTTTGCCTTTCCTCTGAGAGCTGAGTGCTAATCAGATCCCCAGGTCACTCCCAGGTGTACTATTCTCTGTAGACGATGATGATATGTCTGTGCTGCTGCATTATTCACTGGCTCCCAAAGGGCATGACCCCATATGGCTTGTCAGGCATCAATGTATTACCAAATGGTGCAGAACCAGCCAGTCTATCAGTCTGTTCATTTTCCAAGACACCAGAATGCCCTGAATGAAATTTCAAAGGATGTTAACTACTGAGGATCTCTGGAGCGAAGGTTGCAACTCTGCATAGAGAGCGTAGGTGATTAAGAAAGTTTAGTTATCATTCAAGTGCAAATCTACAGGTGGTCTATTCATGAATGTTTCACCAGGCACATCAAAGAGGCAGAGTATGTAAAGCTATAACTGACCATGTATGACATAAGATGTGACTCAGGAAGGTTGGTCTAAGTTTGGCTTTCCATGATTAAATGGTCAAGCTGTTTGCTCTGACCTCTGAAGGTCATGGGTTAATTTCACAGATGCATCGTTTAGTTCATTGGTGCACTTTTTTACGGAGATCCCTGGGGATCGTCGCTGAAGTAAGGGAGTTAGTGCTTTGTGTGATACTCTCAGCTGGCGGCTAGCAATTCTGCGGAGAAAGACTGCCACATGGAATAATCTGATACAATAAAGTCATTTCTCTCTTTTCTGATGCTACTTCTTTATATTTTGAACCCTTGAGGTTTACATTCATCTCTCTAGGCCATGCTGGTATGTTGTGAAATGAGCAGACAGATAGACTGTACGGTTCTTCATCACTTCATGGTGAATTGATGCATGACAAACTAGATGTTGTTATGGTGCTATGGGAGCTAGCGAACAGCACAGAGGCACAAACAGATCACTTTCGTCTGAGGAGAATGGCACTGCGAGGAGTTACCAGGGGATCTGACCAACACTCAATGGAAAGGCAAGATGGATGTACAATCATACACTTACTGGTACCTTCAGCACTGGAACTCTTCGCTTGCTGTTGAAGATGGGGATGGAGCGCTTATGAGAGTGTCCCCGAGTGCTATGATGTTGGTTCAGTTCAAAATCTTTGTGATCAGCCTTTTCTTTCCAGTTGGGGAATCCAAATATTTTGTAGGTCCGCAAGTTTATTGTCTATCCAACATTTTCTTGGTCTGCCTCATAGTCAACTTCCATTTAACTCTTCTGTGTACACAGTTTTGATCTTTCTGGTATCTTGCCTTCTCTCTATATGCCCAACCATTACAGTCTATTAGCCTTCATGATGCAGTAATTAGTGATGATTTAAAAAAATTAAGAATTGTGTTGTTATTATTAGACATTACCGTAATCTATAAATCATTTTCTGCTGCGATGCTGTCATTGCATGGACAGCTGTTGCTTGCAAAAACACCTGGAAACAAATGAAGAAATTAAAATTAAAATAGAGAATATAATTTTTTTTTAAATAAAAGCATACACTTTGAAGAAAATATGGTACTTCACCTAATTTAAAATGTAAATAATTTAAATTATATTTATACGCTGAATTCAGCAAAGTCTTATACTAAAATGTGCTATTCTTCAACTCTCTGAGGCCCGAGCAAAGCTGTGAATGTTGACTGAGAAGTTCCAATTTGCCCAAACAACACTGTCAGCATCAATCATGTGTCCCATACATACTGATTTGTATACGGCTCAGTATTTATTTATAATGTACAGAACTACCATTGAAGTATTCAGGGAAGATTAACATTTTTCTTTGTAAAAAGGTCTTTGTTAGCGCTTATGTGGGCGCAAATTGATCCGATTCATTGCTAGCATCATTTTCAGACAGTGCATTTTCTGCTTTTGTATTCAACTGCCATGGATACCAATGTTTCAAACACAAGCACAGGCTGAAAAATTTGCCTTTCTGTGGCCGAAGCTTTGATATTGTTTCAGATATTTTCTAATTCTGATAATTATAGATTTAAATATTTTGGAAAGTTATCTGGACAGTGAATTTACACCAGCGGTAGCTGAGCGGCCAGCTGTTCGTTCTTGTTCTGATGAGGTAAATCTAGGAGGACCTGTTTCATTTGCGAAGGATGTGATAGTCACCTGTATCTGCATCCAAAGGACTGTTTCGGACAGTACTGAATTCATACTATGGCTAAGTTGTACTGAAATCATTGCAGCTACAGTCTGTATATAACTAACTACACAGTTTATATTTTGTGTGTGCGAGTCCAATTTTTTTGCCATTTTTTCTTTGAAATTTTGTTGAGCACTCTGTGAGAACATAGGGCCTCTGAGTGATAAACCAACCTAGAAATGTCTCATAACTTTTGAATTTCTTACTGAACAAACTTTAAAGTGTTATTCTCAAATTTGGATATTCACTGCTCTTGTTGCTGCAAAACCATGGTAAGTGAAGATTTTTTTTAGGGTAGAATTTTTGTCTTTGTAAACATAACACCTGCTGATTTCTTTCTTCCTACTAACTATAACAGTATCAAACAAAAACATATTGTCAGATTCCAAATGTAAATTCATTCCTATTAAAAAAATATATACTTTTATAGGGATTAAAAATATATAACTTTCTCAACTGCCTTTGTTTTAAACACCACCCCCTCTGCAATTTTGGAAAAAGGAAATTAATGTGAGCCAAGTTAATTCATGGGACTGAAAGAGTTGAATGAATGTAACTGTGTTTACTACAAGTTTCTGTAGCTTTAAAAAAAATCTTGTGGTTGAGGTAGCTGGTGTGAAGCACAACCCCTCCTCCTTTTTCTTCCAGGCTTGGGACCAGCATTGGTGGAGATAAAAACATTCAATAGGATGAATTTTTATAAATTTGATAGATCAGAGAAATGCCCGGACAAAAATCTGTATCGATTGCCATAAGACAAAGAAGGTGGAGACACACTGGGTACACAGTGAGACAAAATGAGCAAAGAATTACAAAACAAGCACTAAAATAGGAAACAAAAGCTCTGAAAAAAAAGAGGACATCGCAGGAAAACATAATAAAAAAAAATTATTACATAAAGCCAAAAACGCTGTGTTGAACTCTACGTCATAAATGAGATGCTCCCCAATTTTTCATCAACATCATCATCAGGTGCCTTGCCGACTGGCATGGGGGATCATACCTCTCCATAATCCATGATCTCCTGCAGCATGTGTTAGTTTGTGTGCCGACACACCTCCATGCCATGCAACAAGACTGTCAAGAATCTTCTCTCGTTGTCTTCCTCTATCCCTCCTTCCAGAGATCTTCCTAGTGGTCACAACATGTTCTATTTTCCCTTTTCTCATAACATGTCCGAAAAATGATGACTGTCTCCCTCTGTGATAAGTTGTCTTCGGGCTCCCGCCTCATTCAAAACCTTTTAGTTGCTCTTTTTGGCTGTCCAAGGTATTCTAAGCATTCGTCTGTTAAACCACATCTCTGAGGCCTCAAGAAATTGTTTGGCCTGCCTACCGATTGTCCAGGATTAATTTCATCATCTTACAGATAATTATTTATGAAAACAAAATACAGCAATGGGGAAATAACTCACTTTTCCATTAATAGCAACAAACTGCTCATTCTCTTGGATAAGTAATAAAGGTCAATGACAGAAGCCATGAATTCCAGTAAATGATTGAGTAGAAGACCTGGACAATTTTCTACCCATAGGGAGGAAAAAATACCAAGCAGAAGTTTGAATAAGATAGCAATTGGTACCATACATAGGGGAACACCTCACTGGCTACTGAGAGGAAGACGGAGCTAGTATAAGAATGATCCAAGTGCACTAATATAAATTTTTGATTCGTTCATTCTTTCCAATTAATGCCATATCACCCATATATAAATCTGTCTGTTCATCTTACGTCCCTCATTTTTGGTATTCAAACATATCAGAAGTTAAAAATTTCTTAAGAGAAAATACAGCTATGGGAAAATAACATACCTTTTTCATTAGTGCATAAAACTGCTTATTCTCACTCTAAAGTAATTAAAGTCCATAACAGAAGCCTGGGTTTCAGTTAACATTGTAACATCCATCCATGTATTTATGTCCCCTCACTTAATTATATAAACAGATAAAAAGGTTAAAAATTATGAAAATAGAAAACAGCAATGGGGACATAACTCACCTTTTCCATTAATGCATACAGCTGCTCATTCTCTTGAATTCTGAAGTAATAAAGGCCGATGACATAAGCCAACAAGTGCAGCAGGTTAGGAACCAGGTAAGTGGTGATGATGTGATCACAACCTGTGTTGTGTGGGACAGCCTCTGTTAAGTTGAATTTCGGCACAAATGCTGGGTAGATTATACTCCAGTTAACAGATACGCTGGTGTGATTTGGTGTTGTGGTAGGCGTGGTCTGTGTTGTCATGGTAACCTTACACAACAAAGTATTTCATAGTTGTCAAACAGATTACTATCAGCTTTGTCAATTTTTGTTTGTGTGTGGTTTTTTTTTTTTAAATGATAGCGTAGGCAGCACTAGTATCATCAGTACAATGCAACTACCGTATCTTGGTTAATCTTTCTGTGACAGTACAGATTACAGATAGTGTAGATGTATCAAGAGAGAGTGTATTGAGTTGAGTTGAAATGAGTCAAGAATTGACATCACAGCACTAAAGGCATTCCCATGTGTACTCTGTCCTCATCTTCAGCAGCCAGTGCAGAGTTCCCATACTGATGGTACCGGTCATAATCTGGTTATATATCAGTCTTGCCTTTCCTCTGACTGTAGTGAGCTGGCCAGACCCTCTGGTTACACCCAGGTGCCTCATTCTCTCCAGGTCATAATAATCTTGTTTCTCTACTGATTCCCTTGTTTGTACCTAAAGGGCATTGACCACATCTGCCTTGTCATGTATCAATTCATCACTTAGTGGTGCAGATCCAGCCAATTTGTCTGCCTGTTGCTACCTGTTCATTACCCCTTACACCGGCATGGCCTGGAGAAGTATGATCCAAAGTATGCTCACTTTTAGTGTATTGAGAGACAGTGTATTTATTATTTTGAGAGAGTAGATGTAGAGAGAGAGAAAGTAGTTATATGGAGGAACAGTGTGGTTATATGGAGGAACAGTGTGGTTATATGGAGGAACAGTGTGGTTATATGGAGGAACAGTGTGGTTATATGGAGGAACAGTGTGGTTATATGGAGGAACAGTGTGGTTATATGGAGGAACAGTGTGGTTATATGGAGGAACACTGTGGTTATATGGAGGAACACTGTGGTTATATGGAGGAACAGTGTGGTTATATGGAGGAACAGTGTGGTTATATGGAGGAACAGTGTGGTTATATGGAGGAACAGTTTGGTTATATGGAGGAACAGTGTGGTTATATGGAGGAACACTGTGGTTATATGGAGGAACAGTGTGGTTATATGGAGGAACAGTGTGGTTATATGGAGGAACAGTGTGGTTATATGGAGGAACAGTGTGGTTATATGGAGGAACAGTGTGGTTATATGGAGGAACAGTGTGGTTATATGGAGGAACACTGTGGTTATATGGAGGAACACTGTGGTTATATGGAGGAACAGTGTGGTTATATGGAGGAACAGTGTGGTTATATGGAGGAACAGTGTGGTTATATGGAGGAACAGTTTGGTTATATGGAGGAACAGTGTGGTTATATGGAGGAACACTGTGGTTATATGGAGGAACAGTGTGGTTATATGGAGGAACAGTGTGGTTATATGGAGGAACAGTGTGGTTATATGGAGGAACAGTGTGGTTATATGGAGGAACAGTGTGGTTATTTGGAGGAACAGTGTGGTTATATGGAGGAACAGTGTGGTTATATGGAGGAACAGTGTGGTTATATGGAGGAACAGTGTGGTTATATGGAGGAACAGTGTGGTTATATGGAGGAACAGTGTGGTTATATGGAGGAACACTGTGGTTATTTGGAGGAACAGTGTGGTTATATGGAGGAACACTGTTGTTATATGGAGGAACACTGTTGTTATATGGAGGAACAGTGTGGTTATATGTAGGAACAGTGTGGTTATATGGAGGAACAGTGTGGTTATATGGAGGAACAGTGTGGTTATACGGAGGAACAGTGTGGTTATATAATGAGGCAGTTTAGTTATAGAAGCGGTCAGCCAAGCAGTTACAATGTCAGGCTCTGCTGCAGGAGACCAGGATTCAAGCCCCAGTAAGGTGATGGAAGTTTTTCGGAGTAGGCAGAATTAAACATCTTAACCTGTACAGTTTATGGCGACAGCACTAGCCATGCAACCATAAAAGCCCAGGCTCATGACCACCTGTCAACATCATCATCATAAACCACTTCTGCCATTAAGTGTCATGGGAAGGAAAAATCTGCAATCCGGTAAACGCTGGCTGGAACTGGCTATTGTCATGACCTGAAGGCTTAAGGTGTCTTTAATGTTGTCGATCCCTATTTTTCATGGCCATCCTCTTGAACTTGCAGCTTATCTTCTGAGATGTAGTGCCTGTGATGGTGTGTGATGTTGCTGCATTCTAACAAGATGACCAAATCTCTTGATTTGGTTTCTGGATGAATCTAGTACAAGGTGCCATTCCCACAATCTGTCTGATTTTACCATTAGTCACTCAATCTCGGATGGTTATGTAGGCAGCTTTTCTCAGGCATCCCATCTCGCAAGTGGTGATTTTGCATACATGGGTTTTAGATAGTGTAAATGTTTGGCATAGGTAGCTCAATGTTGGAATGAACATGCTATTTATAATCTGTTTCTTTGCCCTCATTGTTTGAATGTCTTAATAATGGTGACAACCAGTGTATGTAAAGCATTTGCTTTCTGACATGTAGTTTCTATTTCTCTGTCAATTCTGCCATCTTCCGTGTTCCTACTTCCAAGATATTTAAATTCCATAACTTGATTCACACCAGAACCATTCAGCTGTATGTGTACTGGGCCAGGGGTTCTACCAACTTGCTTTGTTTCAGTTTTGCTTGCACTGATCTTCATGTTGTATTTACTGAAAGCTGAGCTTAACCTGTTAATGTGGACTTGCAGTCTTTCCTTTTTGCTGATGATAGAGCATTGGCTTCAGCAAACAGTTATTTTTTTTCAATGTGGGTGAGTCTTCAGGTAAATACAGACAGCAGTGACAGTGTAGTTTTACAGGGAGACAGTGTAGTTATGTGGAGACAGTGTAGTTTTACAGGGAGACAGGTGTAGTTTTACAGGGAGACAAGTGTAGTTTTACAGGGAGACAGTGTAGTTATGTGGAGACAGTGTAGTTATGTGGAGACAGTGTAGTTATGTGGAGACAGTGTAGTTATGTGGAGACAGTGTAGTTATGTGGAGACAGAGTAGTTATGTGGAGACAGTGTAGTTATGTGGAGACAGTGTAGTTATGTGGAGACAGTGTAGTTATGTGGAGACAGTGTAGTTTTACAGGGAGACAGGTGTAGTTTTACAGGGAGACAGGTGTAGTTTTACAGGGAGACAGGTGTAGTTTTATAGTGAGACAGTGTAGTTATGTGGAGACAGTGTAGTTATGTGGAGACAGTGTAGTTATGTGGAGACAGTGTAGTTTTATAGTGAGACAGTGTAGTTTTATAGTGAGACAGAGTAGTTATGTGGAGACAGTGTAGTTTTATAGTGAGACAGTGTAGTTATGTGGAGACAGTGTAGTTTTATAGTGAGACAGTGTAGTTATGTGGAGACAGTGTAGTTTTATAGTGAGACAGTGTAGTTATGTGGAGACAGTGTAGTTATGTGGAGACAGTGTAGTTTTATAGTGAGACAGTGTAGTTATGTGGAGACAGTGTAGTTTTATAGTGAGACAGTGTAGTTATGTGGAGACAGTGTAGTTTTATAGTGAGACAGTGTAGTTATGTGGAGACAGTGTAGTTATGTGGAGACAGTGTAGTTTTATAGTGAGACAGTGTAGTTATGTGGAGACAGTGTAGTTTTATAGTGAGACAGTGTAGTTATGTGGAGACAGTGTAGTTTTATAGTGAGACAGTGTAGTTATGTGGAGACAGTGTAGTTTTATAGTGAGACAGTGTAGTTATGTGGAGACAGTGTAGTTATGTGGAGACAGTGTAGTTTTATAGTGAGACAGTGTAGTTATGTGGAGACAGTGTACTTTTATAGTGAGACAGTGTAGTTATGTGGAGACAGTGTAGTTTTATAGTGAGACAGTGTAGTTATGTGGAGACAGTGTAGTTTTATAGTGAGACAGTGTAGTTATGTGGAGACAGTGTAGTTATGTGGAGACAGTGTAGTTTTATAGTGAGACAGTGTAGTTATGTGGAGACAGTGTAGTTTTATAGTGAGACAGTGTAGTTATGTGGAGACAGTGTAGTTATGTGGAGACAGTGTAGTTTTATAGTGAGACAGTGTAGTTAAGTGGAGACAGTGCAACTGTGCAGAGAGATTATGTAGTTACATGGAGAGAGTGTAAGTGTATGGAGAGACAGTGTAGTTGTACGGAGAGATAAAGTAGTTAGATTGACAATGTAGTTACATGTTGAGGCAGTGTGGATGTAGACAGAGACCAAGACCCACAAAATATAGAAAAACAGCCTACTCGGAGAGATTAAGCATGCATACATAAAATAAAATTAATTAGTTAATTTTAAGCTATTAATAGAATAAAAAAATGTTACAATAATTTTTTTTTTTTAACACAATCAATCATTTGCAACAACATTGCAAGGTAAAAGAAATAGTCACTTTCAAAAACGTACCTCATTGTCAAGATTCAGTTTCCATTCGCAGGCCAGTATCTCATACATGTATGTGTAAAACAATAGCAGCGTTATGACAGATGGGTATATTATGTTTAAAATCCGCCATCTATACATATGAAAATAGACTGACTCCTTATTAAAACCTCGCCAACCAATCTGAAATATATATATAAAAGATTACTTCACTAAACCAGTTAGTTTAATATGTAAATGCTGCTGAACTTTTCAATGCTGACTGTTTGTTTCACAGTTTTCTTTTGACTTCTTCTTCTTTTTTCTAGTCTTGGATTGCCTCGTGGCGTCAAGGCAGGAAGAGATCTCTGGAACAGGCTCTTCTGTTCACTTCATATAAAGCATTTTACAGTGTCTCTGATATTTCTGCGGTCCATCTTCTGCGTGGTTGACCTATAGTTCTGTTACCGCTGTATCTGTATCACAATGCTCTCTATGTTTCACATTTACTTAATAAATGATTTCCATTTTTTTAAATGAAAGAATTTTCTTGTCAGGTGCTTTTAAAATTACCAGCCATAAGACTTTAAGCTAACAGATTAGCTCTCCAGTAAAAAAAATTCAGAAATGTAACCAATCAATTTCTTCTTCTTCTTTGCACTTGGTTTTGTACGCTCAGGTCAGACTGTCAGGTGGGCTGCTTCTATGAACTTGCATGTCAGCTGCAGGTCCTTCATTGTTCCCCCACAGCTTGCTCTGCACACTTTGCTCTTGAGGTCAGGTTTCTTTTCGAAGTTTTAGGTAGAGTGGGAAGGTCTGCAGAATGTGCTCAAGTTTTTGTGGTCCTGTCTGACATGCACACTGTGGGAACTGTAGTTTTTATTTTTTGCATGTTGTAGTTGAGCCTGCAGTGTCTCCTGTTCTTACACATAAATTGGTGTATGCTTCTTTCTATTGAGTCTGCTGATGGGGTCTTCTGGATGTTTACTGTTGGTTTGTTCTCTCCACAATTTCTTATATTTTCCCTTGATAAGCGTTTTGATTTCTGGTAATGACAATGAATGGGTGAGTTGTTTCTCCTTTGTTAAATTTTTTGCAAGTCTGTCTGCTAACTCATTTCCTGGTATGCTGCAGTGAGCTGGGATCCAATGGAGAGTGATTTTATTGTTTTCCAAAAGTCTGTTTAGCTGGTAGGTTGGTTCTCTCTCCATGTTGTCTTGTGGATCTCTTGTAGCTGCCTGGAGGACTGCCATGCAGTCACACAGGAAAACAATTTTGCTGATTTTAATTTTTCTTGCCTCAGGAACAGACCCACTGCCTGCTCAAAAGCATGTCATAAGAGTCAAATAATTGGGATTTCTTTTGAAGTCAGAGTACATCTGCCTGAGAGGCAAGGAACCAACAGTCTGCATGCAAATGAGTCAGACCTGTGAAACAGACGCAACACTCAGTTTCTGGACAAACAACCAGAACTTTCCGCTGGAGTCTACATTTGCACACTGTTCTAACAGCAGTTAAATTTAAAAGTTAACATTTTACAGGCAGACAAATCACACACAGTGACTGCTACATAATAAACTTAAATATGTGAAGATACCACCAATACAATGAACACTCACAAACGTCAGACACCACCAATACAATGAACACTCACAAACGTCAGACACCACCAATACAATGAACAATCACAAATGTTAGACACCACCAATACAATAAACACTCACAAATGTTAGACACCACCAATACAATGAACACTCACAAACGTCAAGAGACCCCAGTAAGGTCTCAAAACCTGACGTTTGCATTTATGGAGGGTACTGGTAGTAAAGTTGAAGCTACCACCATTGCCCCAATCTTGAATCTGTAAAAAAGGAGTTTAACCATAATTAATCTGTTTAATTTATGCTTCTTATTTTTCTTTTATCTACCATTTATTGGTTAGTGCACCTGCTTACGAAGACAAAGGTTTTGATACAAGTGCTAGAAATGGCAAAATTTACTCTTTGGTGTGATTCTGTCTTCATAATTTTATGATAAGCATTTGAAAGCCTCTATTTGGTGATTTTAAAAAGCCTAACCACAGTCTATTCAAATTATGAATATTTGTTTTTTTTTTAATGTTGGGAAGGGTTTGAATTTTAGATTGCCCACAGTATCTAAAAACCTAAGTGTTGTCTTAGACTGACAGACTGATTGATAAAACTTTGATATTTGAGTGCATGTAAAAAACTGAATAAATATTTAGTTAAGAATTTACACAGCTACCCTTGAGACATCCCTACACATGCTGGGTCCCCTTCAGTATGCAAAACAAGTAAAGGAACCCCCCCCCCCCCCCACCCATTTTTTAAAGCCAGTACTGTATGGGACATATGATGCTGAATACATGCTCCCTCACTTCTTCAGTGCATAAAACAAGCGCCAGTAGTCTATGAGGCATATGATGCTAAGCTTCTTTTTATACACCAATCAGTCCTCAATGAGTGATTTAGTCAACATCACGCCGGTTGCCTTTACTTTCTATGACATTGCCTCACACCTTTTTGTTTGTGTGTTCCAAATCTGCTGTGATGCAGATCTGAACCAAGAATCTTGAGGGCCCACAGGTAAGCATCTAGCCAGTTCATTATCACAGCTCACCACTTGTTCAGTCACCAATGAAAAGTTCCCAGGCTGATAGTACAAGTGGCAACTTTATTAAAAGTTCACCTATCTTTTCCAGTGAATGATGAGTAGATGTACTAAAAGCAAGTTAAAAGTATATGTTACTTGATGATAGACATACTGACTGGTTATCTAGTCTGTGATTACTGCAGGCTGAAAGTAGGTCAGGCGATAGTCACTGAACCCTGCTTCAAAATCTGTGTAATGACCTAGTGAATTGTTATTTTACATCAGATGATTAACATGCTATCTAAATAGAAACGTTTTTGATTATCTAAACAAAAATACATGAGAACATTATGGTCATCAAAATATTCAGATTAACATATTTATCAGCGTATGCAGTTAGACATTACAAATGCTTCTCATAATGCTTAGGTATCAGGTTTGATCCCAGCTGCAGGCAATTTGGCAGCAGATCGCCCACACTGGTTTTTACAGCGGTATTGAGAGTTGATCATTCATGAATGGTAAACTAATGAATGAAAATTTGCTTTAAAAAAATTAATTAAAAAACAACCACAAAGCCCACAAAATCTGGAGTTGGTTCTTCAACATCCTGTAAAGGACATGCAATTAACTTTTTAGGTATAAACAGTCACTTTTAGAACTCAGTTAATATAAGTAATTATATGCTGGGACATACAACTCTTTCCCAATATGGGATGCAATTTTGCTTTTTAAAGCGCCACCCTGGCTGTGGTCGGGGGGGAGGGGGGGCCTAATATAATGTAACGGCTGAACAGGGTTTCTGGGACCTGTCCCTGAGTGATCCTCATCTGAACGGTGGCACTTTGTGTCAGCGGGTGTTCATCGCTTGGTGTGATGTCCTGGTGGGGTTGAACGTGAATAAGTCTGGGACATAATTATCTATATATATAAAAATCAATGTTTGTGTGTTTGTTTATGAGCGATAGACTCGGAAACTACTGAACCAATTTAGCTGACCTTTTCAGGATATGTTTGTTTTGATACAGGAATTTTGCCCGTCATGGTTTGAAATTCTACCTGTCATTGTTAGAGATAGGGGACGACATTTTTTGGGAAAATCTTCGAAACTAATATTTCCATTTTTAGTATCATTTAATTATAGCCACGTTAGTAAATGGGCATGCGCGATCGACTTTCACAGTGCATGCGCAGTAGACATGGAACGCTCTATTTTAAACATGGCCTTCTCTATTTATATACAGCCGGACCTGATTTTTAACATCCGCCTGTTCAGGAAACCAGACTATCTCTATATCGTTGATTGCGACGTTAACCATATTAGACATGATTTCAATTTTTTTTTTTTCAAACAATCTTTGATGAGTTAGAAAGTAGTCGGTGGATTTGAGAAAGGGGAAGAGAGGGGGAGGGGGGTGATCTATATCTGCGCAGACAATTATTGCGACATTAACCGTGTTAGACACATACAATTTCTATTATTGTGCCATTTCAATTATACTTGAAGTTTATATCTGGGATATCTGTTTATGAGAAAACAATTGCCTGCGGTTTTGAGTTGTGTTAGAATCGGGACACACATCGTGCATAGTTTTGTTCTCTTTTCGTTGTTCAGAAGCAGTGGTTGGCTGGCCGTGGGGTTAGTACACGGGGTTTCCGTGCGGGAGACTAGCGTTTGAATCCCAAGTACGGCAGTTTCCCTTTTTTTTTTACCCGGGGGCAAAATAAAACCCAGACCTGCTCTGTCATCGCGACAGCACTAGCCATGTGGGCATAAATACTATAAAAAAATATATAGGTATGTGGGTAAACCAGATGATAATTAAATTTGACTATTTCGCATACTTATAATTTCATTTCAAACTTTCCGATTGCATAGTTACGCTGAATTTTCATATATTTCCATTTATTTTCATTTCGATTTAATTATTTCTTCTGACATTGCGTTAGAATTATACTGTGTTGTTTATCATAGCGTTCATTTCGTAATTATGGTGTATTTTTCCTGTTTTCGTTGCATTTTACTTGGTTTTTTTCTCCAAACTACTTCGATGAAGGAAAGAGTAGACAGTGAATTGGGAGGGGAGTGGGAGAGAGTAGCATAAACTGGTAACTGAAAGAGCTTTAAGTCAAAGTAACTGCCTTACCCACTCAAAGTAGCAGTAGTAGTAGTTGTGATTGGGCGGTTACACCATAGTGGTGTCATGCCGGAGATCGTCGGTAAGGTGATGGCATTTTTCTGTCGGGGAGCGAATTTACGCATCCTTACCTGACCAGTCCGTGCCGACAACATTAGCCTTGCGGCGCCAAATCCTCTGGCTCACGACTCCCTGTCTGCTCCGATGATAAATCAGATAGCAGTGACATTATTTTAGTTATTGTGGTGGCGGTGGTGTAGTAGTTGTACTGGTACTTGAAGGATAGTGTGGTAAATATTACACTAGCCGCATTTACTACTCATTACAATTCCTGCTCCCTATTTTAGTCCGGATGGACAGGAGTATCATGGTCGGTTACAAAAAATATCATCGGGTGATGATTTTCAAATCCTTCGATGAGGCAGAGAGCAGTATTCGGTGGATGAGGGAGGGGAGGGGGTAATGACAGAAACTGTTAACTTAAAGAGCTTACCGCATGATTTTAAAGTTTTCATTTCCTCATTTATTTATATTTTACTAACCCTACCTCCGCTATTCTCTTAAAAAAAATACAAACAGCTTTAGTATGTGATAACCAAATAACCATTTTGTTTTTTACTGTGCTAATAATACCATTTAAACGACCACTAATATAAAGACGCAATTATATGTTGCGTGTTCTAAAGTGGCAAACCAGACTATCTCTATATCTGTGCAGAGAATGATTGCGACATTAACTATATTAGACACATGCAATTTCTATTGTCTTTCTTTTCTAAAAGCCTTTGATGAGGGAGCGAGTAGTAGATGGATTTGGGAAAGGAGGGGGAGAGAGGGCATGGATGACTATCTCTGTATGTGCGCAGACAATGATTGCGACAGTAACCATATTAGACACGTGCGATTTTAATTTCTTTACCATTTAGCCAAACTATGCCACAGCAACGTGTGGCCGGGTACAGCTAGATAATAATATAAAATTTCAAATATTGAGTAACCAAACCAATACATTTATAAACTGGAATAAATTATTCTAACAGTATATAAGAGAAGTGGATTAAATCAACTATGTATGTCTCTTCCCCCCCCCCCCCCCCCCCCCCCTTTTTTTTTTGCTCTAAAAACTTTTGAAAAAATAATTTATCTCTCCTTTAGAGTTGACAATCCGTCTTTTCAACTGTTCACAGAAACAGTTTTCTGATAGTCCGTGTCATGCACATACTGTGCCTGGTTTGGTCGTGAACATTCTGTCACTAAAGTCAGGCCATTTTGAAACTTCCTAATCCACTCATACTCTTGCTGGACTGGCGCACATGGATCACCATACAGGACCTCTATTCGCATATAAATTTCTATACATTCCACTCCTTTACTGATCAAATAATTGACAACAGAACGTTGCCTCTCTCTCTGGTTAGTGTCAAAAGAGTAGCTGCCATCTTTAAACTGTCAGCACAACGTCCCTGTGTTGATCTGCATCATAATGTCAGGTGCGTGAAACTCTTGACATCCTTAACAACAATACTGACAGGTTACAAGGCAAAGAAATGGTTAATGTAACTTCTATCATACTTTTAAGGTTTTCGTTTGAAGCTCCCTTATAGTGCTGTAACCAAGCCTATCCACTTTCTAATCTCTCGTGTACTATTGATTATTTTTAATATATATGTTCTTCCATGCCATGATGTTGATCTCTCAGGTGTCTCCCTTCTGTCTCTTTTCCTACTGACTTCCAGTCAACAAGGTGGATAGGATGGCTTAATGTTTTTAGTCGCGGCAAGTTTTTGCTTCTAACAATGGATAGATAGTTAGCCATTAGTATTTGTTGTATACTGAAAACTGGCAGCATACGAACATGTGGTCAAGTGATTGTCTAGGATATGATTTCCTCTCGAACAGTGCAACTTGCACACAGTCAGGAAAACTCAACAATGGAGTACCACCATATATAAACATTTATTTCACAAGAAGATTCGGGTACACACACCCACAAGATAATGAACACGAAGCATCATACATATGTCTAACACTGGCTATCCATGAAATGAGTGTCACAAACTCCGCTCACTAAAACAGTTTCAGCGGCGCTCCCTCAGACACTAGCTGACACTACAACTCCAAGCTCATCGCTTTAGTGCCCAGGTCGCTGACTACCCTCACGTCAGGGGTAGCAGTAAGGA